CTTACATCTTCTTGACCCTGCTGAGCTTTGGCCTCTTGTCGCTCCTCGATCGGGTTGCACCAGTGGCTGGGGTGTCTGCTTCCTGACTTTCGATGGACAGCACTGTCTGTCTCACTTATCAGTTACCATGTTTCCACACTTTCCAGCGAATCGATTGAAAACCTTCGCATACATCTCTGGAAGGAGGCTCCTAAGGACGTCGTGGCTATAATTGCAAACGAATTCCGGTCAGTTCGACATCCCGTTTTACGACTATCTTCGTCACTTCTGCGTCACTTCTTGGTTGATCGCGGACCAGCAGCTGGTTCCTGTTAGCTTCCGTCTTCGGCAGTTGCCTCCAAATATGGCAGATCCTCACGGTGAGGTCGATGTTTTCCTCGTCTTTCTCCAGTCGTACCTCCAGCGGCGTAGCACCATTATATGTAGATTTGCAGGCTAGCGGAGGCACCGTACTTGTTACGCCTGGTGGCCGAGCGTGCCAAGGCGCCGGAGCTGTGTCCCAGGGAGGCCTTGGCGCTGTCATCCAGGTCCTCCATTTCAGTGGATTTCGCCACCGCGGCCACTAGCTCCTGGATGACAAGAGCACCATCCTGCTGTCACTCCTGCCGTGATGGTGCCATTCGGGCGGAGGCGTCGGCGGGGCTGAAACGTGACCAGTGACCACCATCTGAGGCCCTTAGTTCGGAGTACCGCCTCGTCCTCCAGGAACTGTCGGACACTCGACCAGTTGTAGTTGCCACCTGATAGCTGATATTGTCATTCGTGAAGAACGTATCGGTCCGGCCCTTCATAACATGCTTCTGGTGTGAGTGGCGTGCCGATGCTATGGCTAGTTTCGCTGGCCGCTCGTGCACAGGGGGCATCGCGTAATCCACGCTGGTCAATACTGACAGGACTGCGCCGCTCTTGAGCCGACGGCGCGGTCTCTGCATGCCGGTGCGAAATGACCGATCATCTTCGAAATCTTTCTTTCTGAAATGCAGCTCACACACAGCGGAATAGTCCTGATCCCACTCAGCCCGGTCACGGTGACCCATGGCGCCAACCCACTGAGCCCGTAGAGGTGTTTCGGTGAGAAAAGCGAATAGGTGGCATGTGAGACATCTCCTGTTTTAATCTTTTGTTCCTCTTGGTTCGTTGGGTTGTAGCCAGAACGGCAGTTTTTACCGCTCATTCCCCTCCTCCATTGTTGATGTACTTATACGTTAAGGCTTTGCACCGCAATTTTTTCAAAAGAAAACACCACGCATTGTGCCCTCTAAATTATCAAATTGAAAGTGAAATACTTCAATTCTTTTAGCAAATGAAAGTAACATTGGTAGCTTCGATTTTAAATGCAAACGACAAAACACAAAAATGACGATTTTTGCCGCCCATACACAACACACAAATTATCCACCCAGCAGCACGCGAGAATTCCATTTTGGCGCCGTCGCATAAAAACATTCGGCCTCTTACTGCAACTGCCAATATTCTGTTTCCAATCCAGTACTACTGTTATCTGTGTATTATCCTATGTGAAGATAAATGCGCAGGGTTGTAACGAACAAACAACACTTCCCTCCGATTTTAGTCCAATATTTTAAGGAAGGAACATATGCAGTGACCCCCCATGGGAGCTTGGTGTCAACTAATGGTGGTCTGTTTTCACACGTGTACCTAATTATGACCAAAGTGTTGAAATGCGCTGTAACTTCTTGATCCGGTAATGATGCACGCAACATCTTTACCGGTAAAACCATATGGACAATTGTTTATGCTTTATGGCTCGTTTTATGTGTTCTTATGCTTCATATCATATGTAAATGCGATGTATTTTGAGTAAATCTTTCTCCCGTCTACTAACATTTGTTGAATGTGAGCATTTCCGCCAAATGAAGACTCATAAATTCCTTCCTCGGTAGCGGCGGGGAAGAACTTGCACAGGCTTCCCAATCTGGTTGATTTACATAGAGCACATAACGGCCATAAACATTAAACCTAACGACATTCAGGATAAACGACACAGATAGGCAAATTTCGCTTCGGTATTTCGTAGTTCTCGCATCACAAACTCCGTATCCGTTCAGTTTCAGACAGATTAGATCAAACGGAGAGTAAAACGGCATGGCAGAATTTCGTTTCGTTTGAAATGGAGTGCCGGCGCCGGCTAAGGTTCTGTTTGAAATTGTGCTGCCGTTTTCAGGGCCCATGTGAGACGTATTTTAGTGGTGGCGGGATCGGGTGTGCCCTGTGAACGGGTCTTTACATGTGGAGACCTTAGACGTGAGGTGATTGAACTAGGAGTAAGCGCAATGGCGCAACATGGTCAGCGATATAAATGTTTCGCTGGTTATTTGTTGTGGTTGTTGTTTGATTTGTCCACGACGACTCGTTGGAGTGGTGTTGAGAAACTTTGCTCCCAATTTGAGGCCACTTTCAAAAACAGTTAATTGAAACACTGTGACAATTTCTGCTTGTCACTAAAAATATCAGATTCATTCTGCTGCATAAACGATACACAAAGACATGTAACTCTAATTCCCGTCATCTAGCCGATCTAGCCCATCTTGAGTCTAACTACATTCTCTATGCCTCCTCTGCGCCAAATTCGCTTCGCATTTACCAACACTGTTCAGCATTTTGCAGTTCCAGTGCCACAAAAGCCATCACCACCGACTGTCACTGCCACCCAACACCATTTCCGCTAAGAAAGAGTTTACCGTCGGTCCCCGTTCGGCACAATGCGAGCCGCTGTGTGCGGCCGACCTCCCAGGCGGCGCGTTTGCTTGCGCAAAAGCGCAGGTTTGTTTTGAGGACAGCGTTCTGATCGGAGTCGTTTGTAAATACGTGCCCAGATGGGCCCGTGCAGAGCTCTGGCACCGGCGCGACGCTGCGATGGCAGGTGTGTTAGGATGAAAGAGACGCGGAAATGGGTTTATATAATGTGCACAGATGTGTAATATGCATTGTAGTTGGGCGCTAATGTGTAAATATTGATCTCGTCCTGTTTGCAAAAGACAGACAAGCTTTGAGGAAGCGTAGCAAAATATATATACTTTTTATTAAGTAGCTATGTTTCAGTGGACAATTTATACAATTTCCGCACTGCTATCGCGGTCCAAATTATCAGCCAAACTGAAACATCCAAATAAAATTAATCAAAAACTTACTGAAGTAATCTAATACGCCACATCGCTGTCTCTCACCACTGATATTCACAAGCCACCACCCGGATCTCCAATTCACAGGATCTAGTTTTCCAGAGAGCAGATTGACTCTCTGTACCCACACGTCGTATCACAGTTACGACGCGACCGTTAACCAGCGAACCTGATTCAAACTGACGAATGTTATTCAGGGAGAAAGTCATTTCGGGGCGGGAGTTTATGCTTGTCCCGGCGGAAACTAGCGCTAGACTGGCGGCGGTGCCACGTCGAAGCCCAAACTGGGCGGGGAATTGACGGCAACTAAAAACGGACGTGACATCGTCCGAGCGCCCGGACAAATTTGTGTCAAGTTGGGCAGGAAATCGGTGCTTAGATCAAGAAAGTTTGTAAACTATGTTCGCGCTTGAGCGTTGGGAATTTCGCTTTACTAGCGACTTGGTCCAGTGAAGCGAAACCGTGTTTGGTTTGACTAGGAAACACAAAACTTTATTCTGTGGATATTTATCATGAATAAAAGTTGTATTCATGTAGAATGTATGAAAACATTTATCGCTTGTCTTTTCAGGTCTGCATGACGTTAGGAAATGAAGCGATTCCGCCATCCTTGTAGGTGCCTCACGATTCACTGAACAATGCAGCACGTGCTAATTATCCAGTGATCATTTTGTAACCGAAAGTCACCGTACCTGACCTTATATGGTACATCAGTGTGGTGACCATTGTCCATCTTTACTCAAGATTAGAGTAAAAATGTGACTCGGGACGCAGTACGCGAAACATTCGCGCGTTATTCTGCGTAGCACGCACTCTCCTAACGCACGCCCTCGGGTCATTAGTGAATCTACCGCGGGCCCCGCATCCTAACGTCTCTCCGCTAGCGAGGCGGGGCCGAACCGCCGAGAGCGCAACATCCATCGCCCCCCACAGAAACGACATCTTCCTTCCTCTCTTCTGCGCACCCTCATCGGCCACCTCTCATCGATGTTCCCTGGGGGAGGGACTTTCCCGTCGCATGGGGTCACCGCGGACGACAGAGACCCCCTCTCCTGACCCCCCCCCCGACCATCGGCGATCGCCCATCCCGATAGAGCAAAAGAGGAGACGGTGGCCCACCGACCGCACCAGCTGCCAAACGACATCCATTATTTCTTGTTCTGCCACCGGCTAGCGTTCCCTCCACTGCTGACCGACGAAGACGGAACAATCGATTAGCGACCCAAACGGCACATCCAATTGAGTCGACTTTTGCGTGACAGGCCTATGGCCGTACGACCGTATGGACAGTGACCAGGAAGTGTCTGCGAGGTCGGCTGAAGTTCCCAGGGACTCGGGGAGTTTCACTGGGGAGGAGGGGAGGGGAGGGGGAGGGCTCTTCACTGAGGCCGCTAAGGAGGAGGGGTCTTAGTAATGAAGCCACTCGAATCGCGAGAAATGTGGTTCGTGGCTGAACTTTCGCGGTTGATGCAAAAAGAATGACTTCTCAAAAGTGCGTTTTAGTTAGTTTTCAATGCGCACAAAATTCTGTTTGATCACGACCGTGAGTTTTTTTTATAATGAATCACATACTGATTCAGGAATAGAACGAATGATAGGATATAAGGCATTGTATGTGGCCGTCTAATGTTAGCGCGTCAGTTTTGTTTGACGTGCATTCTCTTGTATAGAACCTTGTCAAAAAAAAAAAAAATGTAGAGCTGCCTCGTAATTAGGGTGCAAAACCAATTACCGACGTGTGCTGTCCACTTTTACAGATGCAGATCACAGATGCAGACTCCGGCTAGACAATTGCAGAAAGGCTGCTTCCCGTTATTACGGCGTAAGCTCAGTCACTGACGCATAATCTTTTTTCAGATGGAGACTCTGGTCAGACGAATGCAGAGCGCTGATGCCGGCGTGCCGGTGAGATGTCAGAAGCTCTTTTTGACCACCATCCCATCGGCCTTCATGGGTGAGTCAATGTACATGTCTCGCGAGATTAACCCTATTAGTGGCAGGGGGGGGGGGGGGGTTGTTTTTATCCACCCCTCAGGTTTTTCGAGAATATCTCCGAAACCGCTGAAGCTACGATGCTGAAATTTTCTGACTTTTCCTAAAACTAAATTGGGCTTATTCCCTGAAAATTTCAAGTTCATAACTTTACCAGGGGCGGCTCCAGAGCACTGGGAATTGGGGGTCCTATTCGTGAAGCGAGTCATTTGGGCGAAGATCACGATGCTGCACCAGTTTTACGAACAGTGAATGAAAGGTATACATGTGATAACATATACAGTTATTGTGCATCCTCTTTTGACACGTTTTTGCTATAATAGGCGGATCCAGGCGTCCAAAAAGGGGGGTTATGTTTTACCTCCCAACATAGGTGCCCTGACACCGCCTATGCATGACCAATACAATTGTAGTCGTTCTCTCATAAGAAAATTGTAACATAACAAGACCATTACCACCCTTTTTAGAAACAGTACCAACAAAAACCTTATTTACTATACTTTTTGTGTACCCCCAATCTCAATGATCTGTATCCGCCTATGATTTTTGAAAATGCATATTTTTAGGATCCATGTGAATTCCTGGTTCATTCTCTATCGATCGGCAAAAGTTGCGTTAGGATTGGTTCAGAAACCTGGCCGTGATAAACAGTCTAAAATGTATCTGCAATTTGCCCGTTTTTACCCCCCTCTACCCCCCCCCCTGTTGACATATTTTAATTTTTATTTTTTAGAAATGTAGATCACGTTGAGCGAAATCGAATGCCGTTTGAATTTTGAAAATCGGCCCGTTAGATCTCGAGATATCAAGGGGGGGTCGTAAACAGCCCCCCCCCCCCTGCCACTAATAGGGGTATACCAGGAGCCTGCCACTAATAGGGTTAAGCGGTAGGTTTTGCACTTTTACATTTCCGGTTATATCTCAGAAACTAATCGATCTACGATGAAGCCATTTTACACGATCATGGCCGGCTTGTTACCCAACAAGTCGATCGCATCTTCAACACTTAAAAGCTTAAGACGACGAAGATATAGCCTGAAGTACACTAAATTTTCTAGATGCAAAACCTACCGTTAACACCCGCGAGACCTGTACATCTCTAAGCATCTGACCTGGTGATTTAATTCACCTTTTAAAACAGCCTGCGGGATCCATATATCTATCAAACAAAATATACGGCTCGAGTATATCAACAAAATATACGGCGCACTAGATATTAAGACGAATTTTTATGAGTTGCATGAGTATGAACTGTTAACCCGCGCGGGGCTGGGGTCTCCAGCCGAACGCGCGGGGCTGGGGGGGGGTAAATTTTACCCCCCTGTTATCTCCCGAACTAATGGTCCGATTTGGAAAATTCAAACGCCAATCGAAAGCTCTCATCACGAACTACTAAAAACATGTACTTAATTTAAAGTTTGAGGTCAAGGTCAAGGTCAGGTCAAGGGTACAAATTGCAAGTTTCTACAGTATCGGCCTTGCACCGTAGTTGCCGAAGAATGGAGTCATGGACTGAGACTGATCGCCCAAAACGTGTTCTTAGGCTACCAAGACAATATTCGTTGCATACAATATCATTCAGAGGTCAAGGTCAAGGTCAGGTCAGGTCAGGTCAGGTCAGGTCACCAAAAAACAAAATATAGAAAAGGGCATGTGCGACACATGTTTTATGGGTCATTTTACTCATAGAATTCAATAGGCACACTCAATAAGTGATATGGACCACCTCTGGATGAATTTCAGGTCGAGGTCAGGTCAAGGTCAGGTCAAGTGAGGTCAAATTTTGAAGTTGGTTGTTAAGGCCTAAAAAGGTGTCTATCTGATGCAGTTTTTCACGGCGAATCGAATGGTGCTATTTTGGTTTCCGTACGAGGTCTAGAACTTTCAAAAAAGTCATTTTTCAAAAATTTTGTGTGTCGTGACGTCATACAATTTTGAATAACTCCCACATTTTTGAACCGATTCTTCTAAAATTTGGTATGTAGGTGCACATAGACCACTTCTCTGACATATATTCCGGTTTTTTCGATAGACTCAAAATTTTGGATTTTATAATGATTTTCCCAAAAAAATCAGTTTTTTGGAAAAATTTAGGCCAAAATCCAAAATTTTCAAAAAACCGAGATAGCCATTTGATAGACAAAGTGAAATTACGTATAACCTTTTTTTGTTACGTCTTGATTCCTTTAAAAATGAAGATGTTAGCGGCGTTTGAACTTTTGCCGTTTTTGAGGCGAAAATGGCGAACATGACGTCACTAAAACGTCAATTTCTCAAAAATTTTCCAACGGATTTCGCTCAAATTTTCAGGGAACGTGTCAAATTGATGTAAGAAAAGGTACTGAAAGTTTGGCGGCGCTGCGCGCCGCCGTTTTTGAGATATCGCAAAAATTCTCGAGGGGGGGTAAAATTTACCCCCCCCAGCCCCGCGCGGGTTAATGATGCCCAGTTTAAAAATCCCATGGAGGTTTGTTAACTTCATATTGGTCTGCTGTTTGCTTGACATTCGTTTGTCTTTCGTACTAACAAGGACACTGTCTTTCCATGGAAACTATTAGTATTGACATGTGTCAGCTATTTTTAGTTATAACAATGTAGGCTGGCTCAATGGTGCTAAAGAAACCTGTAGATGATGCAACTGGTTAGGTTGGCGATGAAATGGACTCAATAACTAACGACAGCAACAATGGGTGGTGGGCTCGATACTCCGGCCAACTTGCCAACTATTTTTGGCTCCTCCTGGGGCTGTCTTTCAAAGTGAGCTCATTCACATTCCAGTTGCCATTGACAGAAATGGCATAAGCGAGTCATTTAGTGCCTCTCAGTTATTCGTTATCACTAGCATTACCATATCTCAAGGTACAGGCTGTTTGAAAATCAGACAAACACTATTCGTTAGCATTGTGTTTTCTATTGAAAAACAACCGGAGCAGTTTGAAGTTAGGGTATCTCAAGGTACGCATAAGTCAGTGGTGATTGCCCTTATGCTAACAGAGCGCAGGTTACGCAGGCATTCAATTTTACTGCTCCCAGTCGTGGCTAGTGGTAGTTATTCGCGCACGTCACGTCAATGAACTTTGGATTTCCCATGAAAACGGTGACTTGTGGTAAATGCTCCAAAATTGTTCTCCAATAATTATCACTAATCAGCGCCGATATGCCAGCAATGAATAACTCATAGTTGAACGCTTGCAAGCCTCTTTTTTTGTATGCGAGGATAGGTCGATTGGATATGCGAATAGTTATGAAGATTTGGGAATAAATGTGTTTTCGTGTTGCAGGGTACGACCTCATCGAATGGCTGATGGAGAATCTTCCCATAGACGACTCTGGTAAGTACTGACAAATATTATATTTATGCAATAGATACGGACGCCTACATATCTTACATTTTCGGAAGCACTTGGTTAGGTTCCTTGCCGATAAGTTCCTTGTTTGCTATATTCGCCTTGCATCAATAGACATTAGTCTTTATTCGATGTCGGCACACATATCATCCAATAGTTGTATCTTTCATCAAGATTATAAGCACGTTGAGTTTCAAAAGCTGAATTGAATAGAAACCAGCCGGATGAGAGATTCGCGGTACAAGGAGAAATATTTGCAATGATGTTTCAATCGCTGACACATTTTTTTTCTATGCTTTCTTATTTTATCGAGCTATTGGCGTTACCGTGGAAACGATTAGAAATATTGTCTTTTCATCCCTATTCTTTATTATTCGGTACTCCAAATGAAGCTTTTGCTCGCCCCCATAAGGTCGGAGACTGCCCTGACCACATCTTCTTTGCGTCAACCTCGTTGCAACCACGCACCGGAAGGCACTGTTTCCACCGGCAATGGTCGTTTCCGTTAGACTTCCGGTATCCATATCCCCTGCTCGTCTTTTGTCGCACACCCTCGGCGGCCCTCCTCTCCTCTCTCCCTCTCCCTCTCTCTCTCCTCTCCCTATGTCTCTGTCTATGTCTGCCTGACTCCCTCTCTCCCCTCTCTATTAGTTCTCTTAGTGTCCGTTTGACTGTCTGTCTGTGTCTCTTTCTCCCCTATCTCTATCTTCTCTCTCTTACTCTCTTCTCTCTCTATCTATCTCTTCTCTCCTCT